GGGGGGGGCTGCTTGCCTGGTTCGGTGCCTCCCGCCACTCCCAGGCACCCGCCCCTGCTGCTCCCATTGACTGTGCTTCCGGCCAATGGGAGCACTGGGGAAAGCCCCCAGCCAGGGAAAGGGGGAGCAGCAGCGCACAGAGCTGCGTCCTTCCTGCCAGCCAGCACTGGTGTGCCAGCCTTGTGGGGGGTGGAGTAACAGTTCCCCACTGCAGGGGGGTAGTGAGCCCCAACTCCGAGACCCACCTGCAAGATAATGACAGACCACACTGACATATGGATTTAAATCTTTTATTGGTACTTTGTAAAACGTGATTACAGTTTAACCGATTTTTCTTTTGCAGAAAAGCTACGTTTGGGGAGTAAAGTGCTTGACCAAATCCCTTTTGTTCTGATTGCAGTCAACCTCAGGTAATTACATTGTGAGGCCCTCCAGATTTCTCGGAAGCTTCAGTTAAGCACAACGCATTTTGCTTTCAGTCCTGAGCTCTTACACAGTGTTGCTGTTGAAGAGCTGTCATGTTTTATCCTAACATTAATGTATTACGCTGTGGAAGAGAGTGTTTAGAATTATACCTATTTCAAGGGACCATTCAAAGTGAAGTGGCCGGTAAGCATTCAGTGCTCTAGAAGAAATCTATTCCATGCTGGTATAAGCATGTGTAGGATCCACGGTGGTTTCCTATACTAGCACAGGATATACCTCTTCTAGAGCACTGAATGCTGACAAGCCCGGTATCTAGTTACTTTGAGTGGAGAAAGGGTTCTTTAAAGCACTCTGAAATCATTGTTTGAAAAAGGCTATAGAATTGCCAGTGTTTTAATGCAGTGTGCAAATTACATGAAGCTAATTGGGTCCTGTAGTGTTTAGATACTTCCTCCTTGGATTTAATTACAACCTCAGAATTTAGGTAGATAAGTAGAAGTGGCTAGAAATGTGAATGGTTTACAACATGTAACCATTTAGAGGGGCACTCCAGCCCAGGGGAATGGTCCTCATTTGGGCAGGCTCTGCCTGGCCGGAGCATTGCAATAGGGGCAGGCCCAGAGCAGCCTCCACCCCTGTTTAAGCCATTAACCAGTTAGACATAATGTTTAACCCGTTAACTCAGGTTCTCAAACTTTGTGATACTGCGACCCTCCCCCCTTAAGTTGCTTTCAACCCCCCAGGGGGGTCAGGACCCACAGTTTGAGAAATGTGGGGTTAACTGATTAAACAGGATTTTACATCCTTAGAGGCAGCATTGTTGAACAGAATGATAGAAATGTAAATGTAAATAAGAAATTTTACTCAAACTCTTATTAATGATACAAAATGGAGGATGTGAAAAAGTTTGCTATTAGAACTACATGGATGAGGAAAATGCCATATAGAGCTAAGTAACCTCATTATAAATTGGGCTTGCACATCTTATACTGGAAGGATAAATTCTATTTTTTCAGACTTAATAAAGCTGGCCTAAATTTTTCTTATTGTAACAAATTTATGTGCTGTAGCCATACAGTAGTGAGATTGGTTCAGTTTTGTTTATATATGTGGTGCAAATGACAGTAAAGGGCTCTAAGTAGAGACAATCTTACCTGATTAAATCAAGTTAATTTTATATTTGCATAGAATTGAAGAGTAAACTACATTATTTATTTGAATGTTTTAGTAACTCTTTAAATACCAGCAGTTATAACAGCTAGTAGATATGTGACTAGTTCCTTAATTTATTGTAGTTATTCAAAGACCACCACTTATTTTTAATAAGAGATAACTGGGAATACAGTTTTTTTTCCCCCAATGGGCATGAAAAATATTCTGCTGAATGCATTGATGTAAGGCCTGACATTACCATATGTTGAAAAGATTATAGGAACTATCAGTTTACTGATGGTGATTTGTGCTAAAGTCGTCAATTTCCAAGTAGCAGTGCATTTTTCATTATTTCAGTTCCTGTTGTTAGTTATTGACAGGAGGGAAAAGAATGGTTCCATCCCATCATCCTAAGTAAAATGAAATAAAACTGACTTAGTACAGTAGTTTTTCTCTCCTTTGACCTAGTCGTGTTGGGAGAAAAAGATCCTTGACTCCAAACCGGAGCAATGGCTACAATGGTGGCCAAGCGAGAAGGACCTCAGTTCATCAGCGAAGGAGCAGTCCGAGGGAATGCAGCCATTCTGGATTATTGCAGGACGTCAGTTTCTGCCTTGTCAGGACGAACAGCAGGGATTCTTGGTCTTGACTGGTTTACATGGCTTTATCTTCTACTTCTTGGCTTCTGTCCTTCTCTCCATGCTTTTGGTATTGAAAGCTGGACGGCGGTGGAATAAGTACTTTAAATCCCGAAGGCCACTTTTCACTGGGGGGCTTATCGGTGGCCTCTTCACATATGTTCTCTTCTGGACCTTCCTCTATGGCATGGTGCATGTCTACTAAAATAGTAACCACTTCAACTGCAATGGTTTTAAAAGAAATAGGACTGTTGCCAAAAACTCATCTAAACAACTATGCCAGCTTTTTACGTTGTTGTTCACTGCTTGTATTCTTAAGGCTGTCAGTAACTTATGTCTGAGTACAAAGTTCTGTAGTATTTGTCTAATTACATGTAAAATGTCTTATGAAAGAGTCACTTAAATTCTCATATACATATAAATAGCCTATCACTGGCAAGGTGGCATTTTCCACCTTTATTACAACTGTATCAATCATTCTTGGCTGACTGTGTTCCTTTTACATTCTGCATCTGTAATATCAGAAACAGCTCTATTTTATTTGTGTTCCTACTATGTTACTGTTTGCACCAGCATACAAGCATTGGTAAAGAGTATATTTAACTATAAGCTTAATGCAACAAAACCTGAAAGGAAATAGACACAAAAATGGTTTCACAGTAATATATAATTAAAGGTACATGAAACTCTGGACAGAAGTATCTTATTTGTCTGGCTCATAAGTGCTGTGATCCTTCACATTGGGTACAGTCCATTTTACAAAAGGAAATTAAAGTTAATAAAACATTTCAGTCTCTTCCATGCATTGACTTTGCAAAGCATACATTTTAGTGGTAGATATCAAAGGCAATAAGTAGCACCATCATGAATCACTGTTCTGGGGTTTTAGCTGTTTGCACAATACTTTCCAATGAAATATTATACTATCCCAAAGGCAACCACAGTATCCTAGGAATCTGTCAGTTATATCTAATGTGAACAACCTACTGCCAGACATTTGAAATAGACTCACTATTCATATTTCCTTAATCATCTAATGCATTCATTTTCTGCAGGACAGACTAAGCTGTAAACTGCAGCTATCAGCTACAGGATGGACCTTACAGTCCCTCACCAGTTTTTTTTTAAGTGGGTATATCGTCTCTACGCTTGTATGGTGACAGGGCTCTAAAGCATACTTTCTATATATAGCAGTTTTTTCCATACAAAGAGAAAGTCAGATAATAGCATTTTTACAGTTCACCTATTCTGAAGCATAAATTACTAACCAGGGGCATGGAACATTCACTGTAAAACATTCTCACTTATGCTTTAAAATGCCTTTTTTTTAAGTATTCTATCCATTTTTAAACTTCATTTAATAGTGAAACAAACTAGTTATATAGGAAAGAGGGAGACTGACAATACTATAGTCTGCCATGCTATATATTTACAATGAATTTACATTTGGTCACCTGCAAAATAACATGGTCTAGTTATTTCTGTCAGAACTGTTTTTCAGTATTGAGTCATGCATCTTTTAAACGTGAGCACTTTAGTTATGCTTAGATGGGCATCTTATTAAGAGACGTGTATTGTTCAAAAGCTGTGTATTTTTAAAACAAAATGCATTACAGACAGTCCCCGGGTTACGTACAAGATAGGGACTGTAGGTTTGTTCTTAAGTTGAATCTGTATGTAAGTTAGAACTGGCATCCAGATTCAGCCGCTGCTGAAACTGACCAGCGGCTGACTACAGCAAGCCCGAGGCAGAGTTACTCTGCCCCAGGCTTCCTGGAATCAGCCGCTGATCAGGTTCCACAGCAGCTGGCTTGGGGA